AGTTACATTTCTTAGGTGCTCGGTATTGTCTTAATGGTGTTGGGAAGACTAGGGGGCGGTGAAGCATAAAGGGAGAATGGAAGTGTAACAGTGTCTTCTCGTTCTAGTCTGGGTCTTTTCAGGTAGTTAGAGATTACTGCGACAATTCACAGTTTAAACAACCATCTCTGAAAAACCAAGCAAGAAGTTCAAAAGCAAAGCTTCCATGTCCATATAAGGAATCATAGAACTGTGAGGTGCATGTATCTAAAGCAGGCGTCTTCAAACTACGGCCCACGAGCCACATACGGCCCGCAAAGGAATCTGATCCGGCCCGCCAGGTTTTTTGGGCAGTGAGCGCAGCCGAGGTGTTACAGTAGGAATTAGTAGTTCATATAGTCCGGCCCTCCAGCTCTCTGAGGGACCGTGATCTGGCCCCCACTTTAAAAAGTTTGAGGACCCCTGAAAGTGAAGATACTGCGGAATATAGACAGAAACTACATCTATTCATTCCACAAATATTACTTAAGTGCTCTCTGTATTTCAGGCCCTGTTTTAAGCATTGGGTATATGTGCTGAACAAACAGGCCCAAATCCTTGCTCTCATGGAATTTATATTCTTGTGGTGGAAGAGAGAGAAAAACAAATAAATAAAGGAAATATTGATATGTTGCATGTGATAAATTAATGGAAGAAAAGTAAGTAGAGAAGGGGGTTGGAGTGTTGTGGGTGGGGGAGTTTGCATTTGCAATAGGGTGGGTAAGGAAAGACCTTTTAAAAAAAATGTTAGATTAGCATAGGTCTGAAGAAAGGAAGGGTATGAGCCATGTTGGTACCTGTGAGAACTTGTCAGGCAGAAGAAACAACCAAGTGACTTGCCAGTCCAGGCCCTGAGAGGAAATGTGCCTATTATGTATTGGAGGAACAGCAAGCAGGAAGCAGCCTCAGTGTGGCTGGCGAGGTTTATACAAGAGAGCAGAGCAGTAGGAAATGAGATTAGAGGGAGCCTAATGGAGATTGTGGACTTTGTAGGCCATTGCCAAGACTTGGGCTTTTACTTGGAGTAAGATGGGAAACCATGGGAGGATTTTGAACAGAGCAGGATATTATTATCCACCTTTTAAAAGGATCCCTTGGGCAGTGCTTAGAAAGAAGCAGGGAGATCAGTTAGGAGGCTCTTGTAGTAACTCAGGCAAGAGGGAGGTGGGCTTGAATCAGAGACAAGATCAAATATCAGATTGATTGGGATTACAAATATTTAGTTTAAAAATATTTTTTTTCACCGAAACCGGTTTGGCTCAATGGATAGAGCGTCGACTTGGGGACTGAAAGATCCCGGGTTCGATTCCGGTCAAGGGCATGTACCTTGGTTGTGGGCATATCCCCAGTAGGGGGTGTGCAAGAGGCAGCTGATCGATGACTCTCTCACCGATGTTTCTAACTCTCTATCTCTCTCCCTTCCTCTCTGTACAAAACCAATAAAATATATATTTAAAAAAAATAAATTAAAAAAAATATTTTTTTTCAAATCAAACAAATTCGTGAGGCTGCTCAATTTTGGTTTTAAAGATATTTTTTTTATTGTTTCCTTCTTGCATACTTTGATTAGTGAGTCTGTATTTAAAGCCCCTTTCCCCCGTTAATTTTAAATATACAATACTTAACCACTGTAGCAATTGTTGGATCTAAACAAAGATTTTCTTTTTCCTTCTTACCATGTTTTATTTACAGTTAAGGTTGAGATTACTTCCCTCCCCCTCCTCCCCCCCCTCCCCCGTACTTTAATCCTATCTGGCTTCTAAATTCCTTCGGAATCATCTGAAGCAAAGAATTCCTGCCAACTTTAGAGGATTTTACATTTGGATTTACTCAGTGGGGTATACAGCAGGAGTAGTGGAACCTTCCTTCCTTCCTTTCCGTGCCAAGTTGTGTTTGCCAATGATACATAGTGATCAGTGAGTAGTCTGTTCAAAAGAAACACACTGACCCCTATGTTCGCGGCAGCACAATTCTCCGTAGCTAAGATTTGGAAACAGCCCAATTGCCCATCAGCAGGTGAGTGGATTAAAAAACTGTGGTACAACCAATGGACACAAAACTCTGGGGAGGGAGGGTATGTATGGTGGGGGGGGGCAATGTTAAAATATGTACACAGATAATAATTTAATTAAAAACACACACAAAACTGTGGTACATCTACACAATGGAATACTATGCTGCAGCAAAAAAGGAATTCTTACCATTTGCAACAGCATGGATGGAACTGGAAAGCATTATGCTAAGCGAAATAAGCCAGTCAGAGAAAGGTAAATATCACATGATCTCACTAATTTATGGAAAATAATGAACAACATAAACTGATGAACAAAAACAGATCCACAGACACAGAAGCATCTTTCAGACCATCAAGTCAAACCTCAGAGGGAAGGTAGGGGGGGGTGGGGGTAAAAGGGAGAGTTCATTCAAAGGACTTGTATGCATGCATATAAGCCTAACCAATGGACATAGACAACAGGGGGATGAGGGTATGAGTGGGAGGTTTGGGGGGTAAAGGGGAGATAAGGACACATGTAATACCTTAGTAAAATAAAAAAAATAAAAATAAAAAACACACTGAAGTGCATTTCTTTGATTTGTTGTCTTGAAAAGGACTTATTTTCACTTCTACATCTAACTTATTATTTTGTAGGAGAATCTAGTCTATTAATAGAAATTTTACTAACTTCCCTTTCATTATCCTGTCCGTAAGGCTATACTACAGATTTGGCTATCTACTATTTATATCATAACATAATATAAATGAATATTTGATTTGTAAAGATTTCTACATTTTATTATTTAATTCATTTCATTGAATAATGAATATTTTACTACACCAGTCCCAAAAGAAAATTTCTTGTGTGTTATTTTTGGCTTTGCCAAACACAATTTATGCAGGCTTTATAATGAATGCTGATAACAAAAGAAGATATTAGATTGAGAAAGGATCATTCTTTTTTTTTAAATATATTTTATTGATTTTTTACAGACAGGAAGTGAGAAAGATAGAGAGCTAGAAAAGTCGATGAGAGAGAAACATCAACCAGCTGCCTCTTGCACACCCCCTATAGGGGATGTGCCCGCAACCAAGGTACATGCCCTTGACCAGAATCGAACCCAGGACCTTTCAGTCCGCAGACCAACGCTCTACCACTGAGCCAAACCAGTTTTGGCGGATCATTCTTAATATAAAAATTTCATGGTCACATATAAGGCAAAGCTGTAAAACCATTACCTAATCTAATCTAATAAAATATGCTAACTAGAACTTCTACATTATTTGTTTTAATAGTAACTGGATGTGCTAGAGCTTGGAGGAGCATATGATATGAATACCTAAAGCAGTTTATAGTAAATTTTCTTCCTGCCTTGTCATATCTTCCTTGATCCATATTCACCTTTCTCTAAATATCTGCTCTTTACTCATTAAAATTCTAGTTTCATAAGAACTATTGCTATTGTTTGTTGGATGTGTGTAATGAGGGCATCCAAATGCAGTGCCAATGGACTGAAAAAGTTCAACCAGGAGATTATGATAAGAATGGCTAACATCTACCCCTTTAAACATTTATGAAGTTAAGGCAATCTGTGCAAAACTGACATTTCAATAGCTATACCAACTGTAGATCTCTTTGGCAGCATTTGCCACCTTAACAATATAAAGGTTTTCAATCCATGAATACAGGATGTCTTTCCATTTATTGATATTCTTTCACTTCAGCATTTTTTTGCATTTTGTTGATTAAATAAATATACTTATAAGTATTAATTTTTCTTGATGTTTCAAAAAATTTTTTTTACTGATTTTTGAAAGAGAGACAAAGGTCAATTTGTCATTCCACTTATTTATGCATTCATTGCTGGTGTTCAGAAATACCAGTGATTTTTATGTGTTAATCATGTAATATGCAATTTTGCTAAAAGCATTTGTTAGCTCTAATGACACTGCTGTACATTTAATCTGTTGCTATATACTGTTTTGACTGAAGAAAATCAGAAAATATGAAGAGTAAATACAGGTTTTCCTATTGGGGTGCTGAAAATGTTCTAAAAATAGTGGTGATGGTTGTAAATGTACTAAATGCCACTGAATTGTACACTTTAAAATGGTTAAGATGGTATTATATGTCATGTGTACAATTATTAAAAAAACATGTCTTTTATTAAATCAGACATTAAAAAAAGATTTATATTTGAGGACATATATTTTTCATAAATATATTATTTACATTAACATGAAATGGGTTTATTTTAACTGAATTAACACATATCTTAAATTGCTATTTGTTTTTAATTTTTAATATTATAAATATTGATAGTTATAAGTAATCAACAGCTTGAGTCTTCAATCTTTAAGAGAATGAAAGAGTCCTGACTCTAAAATGGTTGAGATTCACAAAGCTGTTCCATAAAGTGCAGCCTTAAAATGATCTATGCCAAGTTATTGTATGAGTTTGATGGTACAAAGATTTTATAATATGTCAGCTGTGAATCTAAATGTTAGGGATTAAGCATATTTAGAAAAAAAAATCTTCTGGTCATATTAGCTATCACAATGTATCAATAAATTAGATTAGGAACTATATTATTAGTGGTGGGAAGGGAGGAGCGGAGTACTTAATGAAAGATGGGTGTTGGGAGCTGGAAAAGGTGGGTGATGGGTGAAGAGGGTATTAGGAAATCATGATTCAGCGCATTAATTCAATTTAACAAATGAATAATATTTTAAATGTGATTTTTTTCTGTTCTCTAAGTATCTGTGCTAATAATACATAATCTACACTTATTATTATGTGCTAACTATTGTTCTAAGAGATTTATTATGTGTTGTGGCACTCAATTATTTTTATTTTCAATACAATATTTTGAGGAACTATTTGAGAATAAGTTACTGGCATCATGACTCTTTACCCCTAAATACCTCACTATGTCTCCAAAGGACAAAGGCATTTATTTTTTTTTCCTGCAAAAAGCTTTATTATTTTGTTTGGTCCAATGCATGGGAGAGGGCTTCAGGATGATTAAAAGAATGGCTAGTAGTTTAGGGAAAAGGCTCAGGTAAAAGCCAGACAACCAGGGGAATGCAGAGGAGCCCCTCAAAGGCCTCGGGGCTCCATAGGCTCCTAGTCCTGCTTGACGGTGAGCCTTTCAAAGAGATACTCGCTCAGCCCAGCCTGGGGGCCGGCCAGCCTGTGCAGGTGAGTCAGGTGTCGCCCATCTTCTTGATGAGTTTCCCCTGTCTCATCCTGGAAGTGGTTATCCAGGAAGTCACAGGGAGGAGCATCTGTGCAGGTAGAACCCAGGGCCTGCAGCTCCACAAGGACCTGGTTCAGACTCTTCTCCAAGGCCAGGGCGGCGTCCATGGCGTCCTGAGTGTTGCCATTCATTTTGGGAGTTTTCAGTGTGTCCTGGAAGAGAATGCGGCCACCAAGCTGGTTCTGCAACTTTAAGAGATGCTCCGTGCCCTCAGGCTTCTTCTCCAACTGTAGGAAGAAATGGCCCACACCCTCCAGAGCCGCACCCTCCTGGTGGAAACAGAAGCCCAGAGAGAGGTAGGTGTGGGAGGCCCGAAGATGCCTGGTGGCCAGGAGATTGACAGCAGCCTCCATCTCGGTGGAATAATTCTGACAAATTTGGGAGCTCATGGTTGTTTGGCAATAAGGAGTTAAGGTAAAAAACAAAACAAAACAACCAAACACCAAAAAACAAAAAACCTGAGTGCTGACTGACCCCAGAGTGGTTCTGAAGGTGGTGACTGGATGAAATGAAGGAGAGTGGCCAGAGGTTGGAAGAAGGGGCTTCACTGTGTCTGTCCCGTCCAAACACTGTTGAAGCAAGACACAGATCTGGGACCACTAAGGGCACTGCCCAGAGGCATTCTTTACTCAACCACAACATAACTATTTCTTAAATATAATACTGATGCAATTTTATTTTCTAACTAGAGGCCCAGTGCACAAAAATTGTGCACTGGGGGAGGGGAGGAGGGGTCCTCTGGGGATTGGGCCTTAGCTGGCAGTCAGACATCCCTCTCACAGTCCAGGATTGCTTACTGCACATGTGTCAAACACAAGGCCCACGGGCCAAATCCGTCCCGCCAGGCCTTGCAATGTGGCCCGCACCACGCTGTCATCACTGCACTCCACTGCGTTTCCATCACAATGACAGTTTATGACTGTTCAGTAAACCATTCAGCCCGCGATTTAGGCTGGATTTTAGATTTTGGCCCCTTCTCTGATTGAGTTCGACACCCCTAGCTTACTGCCTGCTGCAGCAAAGGCTGGAGAGGTTCCCACCCCTGCCGCTGCACTTGCCAGCTGTGAGCCAGCTTCTGGCTGAGCAGCACTCCCCTTGTGGGAGCTCACTGGCCACCTGGGGGCAGCTCCTGTGTTGAGTGTCTGTCCCCTGGTGGTCAGTGCTTGTCATAGCAACTGATTATTCCCCCATTTGGTCAATTTGCATATTAGGGTTTTATTATATAGGATATTCAATTAATACTTAAATATCCAAGGTAGCCCAGATTTTATCCTCTCTCTCTCTCTCTCTCTCTCTCTCTCTCTCTCTCTCCCTCTCTCTTTCTTTTTCATTATAAAATGAGATCCTGGATTTAATCAAGGTTTATGCAATACATTTAATTGCCATGCCTTTTTAGTGTCTTTTAATCCAAAAGAATTCCACAGCTCCCCTCCACCACCTAAAATGTTTGGTCTGACATTATTTTGATATTTTTGAAAAATCTAGACTGGAGTTGTTGTGCTGAATGCACCTCAACTTGGATTTGATTATTTTTTTTCATGATTAGATTCTAATTAAATATTTCTTGCCAAGAATCCCACATTAGTGATGTAAGATACTTCTCAGCACATCTTATCAGAAGGCACATGATGAGAGTTTGCTTTGTTATTCGTGATCAGGCACTCTTCTAAGTTCTTAATGCATTTAATTTTAAAACAACCTATGCTATCGCTATTGTTTTTATTTCTTGAGATTTTAGTACTTTGTAAATAAGGACACTAAAATACTAAGCATCTTGTCTAGGGTTATATAGCTAGTAAATAGTAGCACATAGTTCTAAATTCAGATAGTTTTAGAAACTACTTTGTGAAGAAGCTGATTTTGTGGTTCTTAAGTCATCACCTACCTTTAGGGTATATAAGTGGAGGCCGGTAAATTGGTCTTGAAGCTCATAGTGAGAATTCCTTTGGCGAGAGCTCTCACAGTACCATGGCAGGATAGGAAGAAGTGAGGAAATTTCCTGGGCAAGTGGAATGAGGAAAATGAAAAAGGAAAATAAAACAAAGCTGAACAGTTTGCACAGCTTGCAGCCAGCTTATGAATCGCAAGTCCTTATATCTCCCTCAGCCAAAGACACTTAAGAGCAAATGGTTTATACCTCTCCATCCTAACCAGAGAATGCATAGCTTAAATCACACTGGCCTGGGAAAATAGAGAACAAAGACCCAATTAATACTACTTGTGCCAGCTAAAATCAAGGACAAAGTCTGGATGGTATCATTTGTGGGATTTTAAGTAGGAAAGATAGCTGCTAGGGCAGGAGGAGGGGAAAGGGAAAATAAAGAGGGGGCATTTATCTCACCCACTGGACAAATAAGTCAGCAGTCTTGGTAATTGCCAGGATAAAATCAGGAGATGTTCTCACAAACTCTGGGAAAAGTCATGACAACGTAAAAGGGGGACTTTGGCAGAAACTGGTTTGGCTCAGTGGATAGAGCATCAGCCTGTGGACTCAACCATCACAGGTTCAATTCCGGTCAAGGGCATGTACCTTGGTTGTGGGCACATCCCCAGTGGGGGTGTGCAGGAGGCAGCTGATCGATGTTTCTCTCTCATCAATGTTTCTAACTCTCTATCCCTCTCCCTTCCTTTCTGTGAAAAATCAATAAAAAATATATTAAAAAATAAATAAAAGGGGGACTTTGAAATCTATCTTATCTTAGAGGGGAACCTTGAAACATTTGGGGGTTTGCAGGAGTATAAAACCCTTGAATCTCCACCAGGTGGGGCACTCAGACTAGCTGAGTTGCATGCTTATGCTTTATGCCAAGTATATTTTTAATGAACTCACTTGCTCTGCTTCCTTTATAAATTTGCTTGCTTTATTTCAACACTACTGTCTAAATTTTTTCTCTGGAACTGACAAGAGCAAGGCATTCCACTTCCACCACCCACAGGCAGTCCTGGATTGTGAGAAGGATGTCCGATTGCCCATTTAGGCCTGATCCCAGTGGGCAGTCAGACATCCCTTAAGGGGGTCCCAGATTGGAGAGGGTGCAGGCTGGGCTGAGGGACACCCCCCTCCATGCATAAATTTTATGCAGCGGGCCTCTAGTTTGCTAATAATTACAAATGAATGTGAAATATGGATCCATCCAATATTTCATCCCAGGGACAGAAAAGAATGTTTAACAGTACAGGTTTTATTCAGTAAACTGAATTCAGTGAACTGGTTACTGATGTATTGAGCTCCTTTCCAAATTTCATCCTCATATTAGTTTCATAGCAAACTCTGGAAAAGAACTTTCTCAGTCACTTCAAAACTGCTTCCAACTTTTGACTCTGATTTAGGAACAGTTGTTTAATGGTTATTCTTCTTCTGGGAAAATGACCAGAATTGTGTGCTGTGTAGCCTTTAGGTTAACTGCAAACAGAACTCTTCCAGTTGTTGGATGGTATAGAATTCAGTGTTTCTCAAAGTGTGGTATGTGTACCCCCAGGGGTATGGGAAGAGTTTGGTGGTGGTATGTGTTGCACCGGAGTTTGGTGGGGATATGCACTGCACCGTGCTTAGCTGCACCTAATTGTACGTTCTCATGAGTACGAGGGGTACTCAGCGTTACGAAAATTATAGAAGGGGTACACTCATGTAAAAAGTTTGGGAAACACTGGATCACTGACAACATGAGATTTTTTCAGTAATGCCACCCAAATTCTATCCCTACACAGAAAGGCAACTGCAGTTGTCTGAGCATAGTCCAAGCACTTGCTTGGACGTTGATTCTGTTCTCTCTATCCCACCTCTACTCCTACATCTTTAAGCTAGGTTGTACAGGCCGCACTCCACATCAAAAGTCTTTTTTTTCTTCTTCTCTCTTTCAACTCAGTCCCATTTTGTCCCTCTTCTTGCCTCCCTACTTCTCTCTTCTCCTTTCAGCACTGTTCCTAAGATGACCCACCTTTTAACCATTGGCTATATCTTCTATTTCTGGCACTATTCCTTCTCTCTATACCCTAGAGAAGATGTGTGTGTGTGTGTTTTTTCTTTTTCTGATTGGATGGAGTATGATCATTCATAGTAGGATTTGCCTTTGCCCTCTAGTCCCATTAGGATCAAGTTTTGCTCAGTCCCACTCCAGGGGCCCTAGACCTCACACTCAGAACATTTAATCCCTCAGCAGACCCAAGGTATCATCCTCCAGGTCTCTCAAGGTAGAAGAGAGAAGAAGCCTGCTACTTAGGTATTAGGAAAATTAGGTATTAGGTTGAATCATATAAACTTGCTGTTATTCAACCATTTTGTCCATGTTTGATAATTTTTACAAAAAATATCAATTTCATGTGATTCAGGCTAATATTGATGTTTTAAATATTTTAATAACACTAAATTTTCTAATAGTGTTTCTCTGTTGTAAATGAATGATAAAGTTACTTTAGAATTTTCTTTTATATTATTTTCAATAACTTCACAATGCCAGTAGAGTGCATTGGGTGCCTGGTGATATATAAAAAAAAAAAAATTATAATAAAATGTATGTAGAGATGCATCTGGTAATGATTTGCCTTTCCCTTTCCGCAATTCAATAATTCAAGTTGATGCTGGATAATTCTCTTTCCTTTTATTTTATTCCATATGGTGGCAGAACAACTACCAAAAGATGAATACTTTCAGTACCTTTCATATCAAAGCTGCAGCTTTCACATTCTGTTCTATTGATACTGCATTTTGGCAGTGGATAAAGGGACACAATTAAAGTCTCTGCTCATACTTGGGTTTTATTTGGGAAAGCTTTTCTTTGAACTAGTGACCACCCGTGATTTTATAATTATCAGAAATTAACCAGCTCAGCATTTCTTGTAGGAAATATTAACCATTTACTTCCTTGTTTTTAAAAAGAGAAAAGAGAAAAATTAAGGACTAATAGAGAACTCCATTTTGTCTGGGAGTATTCCATGAGGGATTGCTTTAATACAATGCTGAAGCTTATTTGTCTGGTGCCCTTTCAAACAAAATATTAAAAACAACAACACACCACCTTATTACTTTCTCAGAACCCTACAAAAAAGAAAACTCAAAAGAATTTTGATTTTCTGAAAAGTGAGACAATTCCAGTATAAGTTTTCTGATATGACCTGACTTATGAACAAGCTGCGGACAAAGCATTAAAGTTTTTTTCAGAGTACTCTTTTTTTCTTTTTTTTTTTAACCACTTCCTTGAGATTTAATTCATATACCATACAATTCACCCATTTAAAATGTGTAATGGTTTTTCATATATAACATTACTGATTTAAAAAATTTTGGTAAAATCATTGATCAGCTGCCGCCTGCACGCCCCCTACTAGGGATTGAGCCTGCAACTATGAACTTCTTTTTAAGTATACAGTTCAGTGGCAATACTTACATTCATAATATTGAGCAACCATCACTGTTATCTACTTCCACAA